ATAATTATGTTAATAAAAAGACGAGAAGCTATAGAGAGAGCTAAATTAAACTCAACTTGTAATACAATAATTAGTACCTTATTTGAAGTGTTGTTCATACTTCTTATATGTGATCTTTCGGGTTTGGTGTAATTGGATAAACCTTTATAATATGTTTCTGCAGCAAATGCAATTAAAGATTAAATTCCAGAGAGGAATTTTATATCAGTATCTTAAACGGGCACTCTTGAACCACTTAAAGGATAGCATATTGATAAGGTTAAAGTGATTAAACCTATAATTGATCATAGATAATATAGATATTTAGAATGGGAAAATCATTTGAAAGTGTTATTAATACATGATCCTGAATCTGAAATGGCATCAGCTGCTATGGATGTTAAAGCAGGATCTTGGAATGAACTTGATGAGTTTCCTGGATTAGCTCATTTTTGTGAACATATGTTATTCATTGGATCTCAGAAATACTCCAAAATATTTCTAAGTCTTTGTGGAGGAATTTCTAGAAGTTTCTTACTAGAATCGATACCATTTTCCTCAAGTTTTTAAAAGAAAAATCCCAGATTTTGTTCCTTTCAATTTTGATTTCATTTTCTAAAATTGAAGTAAGGTCTTATATATTGTATTATTGATTTAAATTATTTCTTCTAAATTTTATTAGAATTCCTTTAATAAATATATCTAATAATCTATATATTTTTAATTACTTATCTTTTGAGTGCTATTATGATAATGATTAATTTTATCATTATAAAAATTAAATCATTTTTATCTTTAAAATTGAAATTCAATAATATTGTATTTAAACAAAACTTCTTTTTTTTTCTCAATATAGTTTTGGAAATTGATTTTATGAACAAGGTATTTTTAAAAAAAATAGAAATTCCTGTTAAATAACAAATAATTAATTTGCAATTTTAATTATGCATATAAATATAGAAGGATGATATTTTGTAATTTTTTTAATGATTATTCACCACAAAAGCACCATATATGATTCATTTATCAGACCACAAGTATTTCCTGGTGCTAATCTAATAGTTCCAAATTCTCCCCAAGATATTCCAAAAGATGCTTGAACTCTCCAAAAATAACTATCTACTGTATATTCTTAACCAATAGCTAATGCATAATAATTTGAGTTTTTATATAATGAACTACAAAGTGAGAATACTCCGGAGCTATAGAATTACCAGTTAGTAGCATCAACTCTTACTGATAAAGGCTGATCGTTTAACATTTATGTGAAACCCCTCATATAATCTATATCATCACTATTCTAATGATAAGCCATAATTTTCCATGGTGCGAATCCTGATTATTTACACCATTAAATCGTGCCAGTATACGGATATTCAGACTCAGTTAAAAGCCCTTGAATTCTTGCATGTTCATATGCTTACTAAGGTTAAGTAAATACAGTTGGAGTTCCATCGCATGACCCCTAACCACCCGCACAATCCATGGCATTCTGTGGTGATAATGTTACTGTTATTCCTTTTTCAATTTTATATTTAGCTTCAATAACATTTGTTGCTGCCATTGCCCAAGAGGAAGCACAGTTTCCTGTATTTTTAACTGGGGCATAACCTCTCCAATCAATATTTAGTTTTTAATTTTATTCTATATTTGGTTCAGGTGACTTAGGATTAGTTTTACTTATGATTTAATCTTATTCATTTTATTTTTCGGGTGATAATGGATTCAAATAAAGACTAACAAATTCTTCATTTGTAATAGCCATAAATTGATTTTCTCCCATTAAATAAGTAACATCAGTTCTTTTATTATGTTCATCTATCATTTATTTATTTTAAAAATAAATGGTTTATCTGTATGTTTTCTCATCACCAAAATAGCGTTTTCCATGTTTCAAAGCCCATCTTTCGAATTCAGAATCAGAATCTAAATTTACTTGGTAGAAACCAACACAAATTAGTAATGACGTCAATGTGGCTGCTATTATATTTTTCATTAATTATATATTCAATTT